TAGGCATTAAAAGAGAAATCAAAAGCGAAAGGCTTGTACCTTGTATTGTTGTGTGCACGAAACTAGTAATCAACTTTAATTAACTTTCTCTAACTCCATTAAGCCTTGATTAGTAAAATGGCATATGCTATTCCAGAACTAATAAATAACTAAATAAAACAAGAATAAAAGTGCGACAGAGCAAGAAAATTGTCCTTTTGTTATATTTATATATAAATCACCGTGAAAGAAGGTTGGAAGACGTATAATTTCAATGGCCAAAACTAAGAGCCGATGGCGGGGATAATTACCTTCTTTAAAACTATTTTAAAATGATAATATTTTTAAGACTTAATTATCTTTTTATTTTTGTTATATAGCTTTTTTATACTAAGTAGTTATTTTTTAAATTAATTTTTTATGTTTTATTTTTATTTTGAAACTTTATCTCTTTAATTTAAACTTATTTAATATGATAAAATATTTATTATTAATTATTGAAAACTATAAATAATCATATACTATTTCTTTTATTTTACAAAATATTTTGACATTCTAATACTCGGAAGAATAATGTACAAAATTTGACCATCAATAATAACAATATAAACCCATCATATAAAATTATACAAGCTTTATAACAAAAAGTAACTCTTCTAAACTTCTAATCCTCAACTTTTTGTTCATAGCAAAATTCTTAATAAAAAGAGAGAAAGTTAGGATATATTAATATCAAATATTAAATTAGAATACTTATACATCTTAATAATTTTTCATAAAATACAAAATTAACAATATAATTACTGATATATACTTAACTTAATATTGTACTATAAATAAAATATTGTGTTTTTTTATAGTTTAAATTTTTTATTTTGTTCATTCCATTACAATTGTATATGTATATTAATTTAATTTATTTATAAGATTTTAGAATTTATTTTTAATAAATATCTATGGATATGAAATAAATATCCGTATAGATATGAAATGACAAATTATTACCATATATAACCTATTATCCGCAACCATTTTATCACATTGACAACCCCATTAATCCTTATGTAGTTTTGGTCCCTTTGACAGCTCACTTCATACTTAAACCCTAAACACAAGTGATTTTATTGTTGAAAAATATAAATATTATATTCTAAAATATTTTTATAAATTTTGTTAATTTTGGTATTCAATATAATTTTAATGAATAAAAGTAATTTTTAATTGAAAAAGAAATTATCTTTTATATTTTATCATAGTTAATTTTTAAGGCTCTCTACAAGTTATTTTACATGCTAAATATTTTTTTTAATAAAGATATGAAATTTTCGTAGAGATAAAGTAATTAATTAGATAAAATAGAATAAAAAATAAATTCTAATAAATTTAATGACACTTTAAAAATTAATAAAATTCATATCATTAAAAAAATTAGATATATTTCATAATTCATGTAAAGTAATTAACACAATATTATATTGTTAACAAAATCTTTTTTATTTAATGAGTAAACTCAATTTAGTCTTAGATTTTAACTCACTTTAGTTATAGATTTTACAAAATTTTATTTTAATTTTATAAAATGACATTTTAGTTTTTTAACGTAAAATAAAAATTTAAAATAACTAAAATAAATGATTTCTTATAAAGTAAATGAATAAAGTGATTTTTGTAATAAAATTGTGGGTTAAATTAATGTGATTAAATTTTATAATTTTAAGAACTAAATAAAAAATATTTTTACATATTTTTATTATTAATTAAAATTTATTGAAAGTTATAAAATATGTCAACTTCACCTATTTCTTAAATAAGATCATATTATATTAAATTTTGACAAATATTAAATAAAATAATATATTAAAAAAGTGTGATTGTTTTTGAGTGAAATAAGGTAAAATTTCGTATTTGATTAGTTATAAATTTTAGTTTTTACTTATCTTTTCAAGAGGTACACGTACCCTTGCTGTTTGAATTTTGTCAATCTAGTCGAGAGAGAGATAATGTGTACTGCCATTTTCATCATCAACTAATTCTAAGGATAGCTTTGACCTAAGTGATATACACAATCTTTATTCTCTTAACATATTCTTTTCCAATCTTAATAACTGTTGGAGATGTTTGGCTTGTAGTGTCTCAATCTAATTTCATCTTATTGAAGCTGCTTATTTCATGCTCTACTATTATAGAATTGATTCTTTCATCCTTTTCCACAAAGATGCACAGTTTATTTAATGCATAGCAGCCCCTGCAAGAAGCAAATTTGTTATATTAAAATTATCAACATAATAACTGCACATTTTTAATAAAATATTATTATTATTAGCTATTTAAACTCAACTAACAGAAATAATTAAGATAAACATTGTGTATCCATCTTTACCAATTTAAAATGAAACAACTCAATCTCTCTCACTTAGCATGAGCATCTTCGAAAGTTGGAATGTGGTTAGCCAGATTAACCCATTTTTTTGTTTCGATAAAAATGTGAAAGGGATAAATGGAATGGAAATTGATCATTTCACTTGATTAGTAGGGTGAAGAGATTGACAAGAAAAGAATAAAAAAAAAAAGTTTTGTTAATTTCAGTCTTTAGAGTTAAAAATAAGGAATTAATAATAATAAAATTTTATTAAAAAATATTTATTATATTTTTATAATTTCAATATAATAATCATGTATTATTTTTTATAAAAAAATTTATTTATAAATATTTAAACTCAGCTCTAAAGAACTAGGTTAACAAAATTTTAGAAAAAGTTATTAAACTGTGGGTTCTTCTTTACTGTCTATGACATTTTTTTTTCAAATTATAAAAGAAATTTGATTGTTATATTAAAAGAAAGGATATAAAAAAATATAATTGGCTGTATAATTTACTAATTAATTAAATTTAATAAAAAGATTATTTTTTAAATACAATCATACCATGTTACTTAAAAAGGTGACAGAATGTATATCTATGCAAAAGAATTATAAGAAAAGTGTTTAACGATCATTTTTCACCTAATAATTATATTTTTTTTACAAAAATATATTTATCTTTATGAAGTGATACTTTATTTTGTATATATTTTTATTTATTTAAATAAATGGATTTTTTTATTCATTTAAGTAATAGATAATTTTTTCTATTACATGTACATCTTTAAAAAAATTATATTTGAGTTAAATAAAATCACTGTAAAATAATACATTCATATACAATAAATATTACTTCTTTTAAATACATCAAAATTTGTGCTAGTATATTCCTTACTATAACTTAAACGTGCACAGTACCTTTTTAGTATGTTTGAGGTTTGGTTATTTTTAAATTATGAAAAATTAATTATATAATATCAATATAATTGAGACTTATGTATGTTTAAGTTAATTTCAATGGTTACATTAAATATGTATTTTTTTAGCAAAAAATATTATAACTTTTTTTAACACCACCGACGCAAATATGAGCTTGACAGCTTGTCTGGAAATCATTCATCCTTCCAAAAGCACATTAATTTGGAATAAATAGATATTTACTTGTAAGTTAACGTGTTTATTTTATTTAGATTGCAATTATTTTACACACACACACACATATATATATATATATATATATATATATATATATATATATATAAGATTAAAATTTCATTTTTTTTAATTTTCTGAACAATATTCACAAAATATTGGATAGCAAAACTATTGGTAAAGTATTACGTCTGATGCTATATAGATGTGATCTCTTTAAGCGCTACATAAAAATTAAATAATTTAATTAATTTAAAGGTATTTTTAATTCCTCACACTAGATGTGTGGAGAGATGATAGTCTATTTGGCGATGTTTACGCAAAGGTACGCATTAACTGAGATAACTTATGCTTTAAATTTAGACTTTGAATTGAAGATTTTAGGACATAAAAGATGGACAGATACCAACCGACAACGTGGAATCATTTTCTATAATCACAGATAAAATGAAAAAAAAAGGAATAAAGGGAGAGGAGAATTCCATTCGCCAAAATTCAATGGCCAGCCCAAATAACAATTGGAAAATTCACCACCGTCCACATTTTATTTGCCTATTATCCTACTAATTCTTTGTTACTTTTTATCCTTCTATCCTCACAAAGATTCCTAGCCCTAATCTTTCTAGGGTCGGTGGACACAAGACAAACGTAAAAGATGGCTTCGATTTGACCCTAAAAAATAATACAGCATACATCTGTCACCATTCAGAACTAAATTCCATATATAGTTTACCAAAAATTAAATAAGGGCTTTAACTCCCTTATTTCACTTAAAAAGAGATAACTAAATTATTTTTACTCCTTTATTATATAGAAGGAAAATTGTAACAGAAAATAGATAATTTTATAAATTATACTCTATTTACATTTGCTGTACTTATTCTTTTTCTTTGATTTATCACTAAAATCTCTTACCGTTCAGGTTAAAAACAAAACTGTAATTAAATAATGCAAATAAGAAATAAAGAGATTTATTGATTTAAATTCATATGATTTAAGAATCAATTAATACTTAATATTCAATTTTATTTTAATAAATATTACACTTTTAAAAATCCATGTAAATGTCAACAACTTAACATACCTACATGTAATACACAATTTAACAGATATTTATTATGTCCATATTCTATAAAAAAACTTATGGAATGGAGAAAGTGTTAAGCACTTACTCTAAAGTAAATGAATCTCTACCGACAAAAGATATATAAAAGTGAAGTAAGAAAGTATAAAATTTTATAAAGATGAAGGTTGTAATTTACTCTAGGGAAAAAAACGATAACAGATATGAACCTAATCATATAAATCATACATTATGATGCTTATCTCAAGCACAGAGGCTCAAACTTGAATACAATTGTACAGCGTTTTAGGTTCATAAATTTTTATGACAATATACTACTCACAATTTTTATTTATTTAAACATTGATAAATAATGCACAACGAAACGAAACGAAACAAAAATATAAATATTCAGGGCATATTGGACACATTCATGATAATTTTATTTTTCTTTTGTCTTTATCGCATGCAAATTCGGAGTCGTACGTCAAAGCATCCACCCAGAGGCGAATCCATGCATATTTAAGGATGAAGCTCCGTCGTCAGGACCAGTTGGGTTGTATCTGTTATCAATTAAAAAAAAATGCACTGTGTAGACAGAATATTATAAAGTGGGAAAAATGTAATAAAGCAGATAAAAGTTTTTAAAAAAAGTTTATGTAGAAAATAAATTTTGGTATTTTTATGAAGTGATAACCATACCCAATTTGCAAGTTGGGATTCACTCCCACAGGCTGGAAAAACCCCTCTGTTTGCGATGGAAAATTGGTGTAATGGATGTTAGGCCCTCCACCTTCCAAAGCCCCTCCTGCTGGAACCTGTGAATTATTTGTTTCTTCCAACTGTTTCAACCCAGAGATAATTAGGAAATTAACTGCTTCTACTAAACCTAATTACTGTAGGTTTATCATAATGATTTTAGAGCATAATTTACCTTCTAGTTAGCTTACTCTATATCCTAATTAAGAAATCTGCTTTTAGGAATTTGTTTTCACTTATTGTTATTTGTAGCCATAATAGCTCCAATAAAAGCGTAAAAAAAAAAACTAATATTACGTCACACCCCTCAAAATAGTTTATAATATATGGATAAAAAAAATGCTAATCCCCTCATCATATCCATGCAAGGATAGCCAATAAAAAGAGGAGAACTTTTCATCAAATAATTGGAGCTTATTAATCAGAACACCTATGCATGAGTACAAAAAATAATCTAATTTAAAGTTTAATCTTTAATTAAAATATTTGAAATGTAATTGCAAATAATTGTTACCTTACTCCTTAACACGTTATTAGTTTCAACAAGCACTGTTTCCTGCGTAGAATCGCAAGAGCGAAGGTTACACCAATGAATAAGACGATATCGGAGTCCACTAAGGAAAAAAAGAACCCGCACATACCCGGTTGTGAAGATCAGCAAGCTGGTCAAGCATGAATTGAGTCTGCAGAAATTGTAAAATATGCGTCAAAATCTATCCAAGAAATTAGAGATGTGATAGCATTGGGAAAGAGAAAGAACACTAATCAAAGCTACAAGTGCAAAGAGATATAACAGTAATATGTGTAAGTGTATACCATATATACCTATAATTAATAACACTAATAGTTGAAATTGAAATTGCCCAATGTTACCTTTGTTGACCTAATATTCCTCAGTGCTGCCTCCAGTTGATTCTCAAGCTGCTCGAGCTCAGTTGTGTTCATTTGTGCAAGATCTTCCCCGAGCAGGTTCCTGCATCATTTATATTCAATGACACAAAATATTCATGAAACTTAATATTCAACGGAGTTTAGAGACATATATAGGTAGTAACCAAGTGTGTTAATTGTTTATGGAGTCCCTTTTTAAGTTAATTACCTTTGCGAACGTTGCAGGACTTCAACCTTTGCTTTTAATCTCAAATATTCCTGGTAGTTCTGCCAAATGACATATTTGTTATTAGATATTTTATTTGTATTTTCAAGCAGCATGCTTCTCTCTCTCGTTACAAAAGTTGGTAGAAAGGGGATGAAAATGGGTACGAAGTAAATGGTACAACTCATAAGATTATTACACAAGCTTAAACCCTAATTTTATTCAACAGCAATTAATATCAAACTCTCTCACAAGTGCAAGGGATCTCTTTTATTGTAGTGAAAAGTTTAAGTGTAAGTCTAAAAATTTTTATATTTAATTTAACTTATATTTAATGGTTAATGAAATAATAAATTATAATTTAAATATAATAAATTATAACTCATTAGATTAAGTTAAATAAAAAATTTAAATTTAATATAAGAATTTTTAGACTTATAATAATCTTAAAAAATCCTATCTTTTTACTGTATATATGAAATACACAAAAATGTTGACAATTTAAAAAGGAACTATAACAAGATTTTATAAATGCATGTTTAATTTAAATTATTTTATTTTAATAAAATAGTCATTTATTTTTATTTTTTTTAAAAAAAATTAATTATTTCTTTCAAATTAATCGCAACTAAACATACATCAGGTGACAAAATTATATCTGGTAATAACTGAAGGATTACCTGAATGTCATTAATTGGTCGGGTGGTCTCCAATGCACTGTAGCTGTACTTCTGGTACTTCTCCAGTGTTTTCATCATACTGTGCCGCAAACAAATGTCTCAATTCAAATGTCGGATCATTTTCATTTGTAAACGAGAAATTTTATAACCTCTTGAAAAAAAAAAATGCAAAACACTTATATGTGGCAATTTCTACACTTTTCTTACCTTCAATATATATTTTTTCACAAGGTGCATTAAACTGCATTTTGTAATAATCTTCATAAAATACTACAATATGTGGTAAGCATGATTACGGGCGTGTCAACATAACTGCAAACCATCTATAGATTTCTAAATATTCTGTCATACGATATAATATGTTCAAAACAATTTATTATAATTGTTGAGCTCTCTCTCTCTCAATTTATCAATCTATTGGATTAGCTAAATTTCTTTCTTTCATCCCTCATGTTTTCAGAAAATGTAAACCAATGAGTTGATCAAAAGTAAGCAACGCAAATCACGATAATTAAATTAGTTGGCAGAAATATATTCGCAGAACAAGTGAACAAATGCCGTGATACTAGCTAGTGTTACAATATCATACGGTTTCAACTTTATGTTCCCTTTAAGTAGCTTTATCTGGAAGAGACATTGTTTGAAACGTATAGTATCACTTTTATATATGAGCTAAAACATTGTTGAATTATTTCCTTCCATTAAACTTGTTGATATACTTTTAGTTAATCAACTAAAATTGCTTATACTTGGTCGTACTTTGAATGTTTTCTTGATTTGATTCTGGTATGGTTGTCATAGAGGATTTCATTTTTCGAAATTATAACTTGAAGACAAGGAAGAATTTCATGCATCCGATAGTTCTTATACTATTTATCCAAATGATAGCTTGATTTGTATGTGTACATTTGATTAAATAGACACTGTTGATCACATTATAAACTCATAACAATTGTACACTGCTTCAGTATTTTTCTTTTCTCTTTTCTTTCAACCAACAACCTCTACCTTCAAAATCCAAATTATTCAACATGAAGGTATATTATTAAATAGGGAAAAAAACAAATCATATGCTATTAATTACATTGTTAAGAGAGTTTAATATTTCAAATAATTAGTATCACAATTATGTTCTTCAAATATTGTGATTAATTTTATTGTAATAATATAATATTTATCAAGTTACACTTAAGGTGAAATTTATGGCAATATTTACTTCTACATGAAAATGATATCACGGGACTTTATGCAAAAACTTTATTGTAATTCTGGATTGGAAGAGGATAAAAGAAAAAGCTTTTTTTCAAGTAAATTTCAAGCAAATTCTTTTGACAGGACGCATTATAACCAAGAACATATATTCAATATCTCGGGAATCTAAACCGTAAATGCAATTATTTGCATTGAAATTTCTCCTCGTCACTGCCAGACACAATAATTAATTTTTTTTAAAAATAATAATGTTTTCAATCCTTTATTTTAAATTATTTATAATTTAAATAATATTACTTTATTTAATCATTTCTCTTTATTTAAAAAAATAAATTGTTTTTATTGATTTTTTATCTACAATTTTTTTTTTACTTTTTACTTAAAATATTTACAAGCTAAAGCATTTAAATTGTTATTTTTTTTTACTCAATATAAAAATTACGAACCAAATATTATATTTCACTAAAACAATTTTTTCGTTCAAATTATATTCTCATATTAAATAAAATCTTTTAAATTTTATCGAAATTTAACATAATTTTTATTTATATGCTTTTAAATTTATTTTGCATTTCAAAGTACACTATAAATCTCAAATTATTGAGATTGAAAATGAAGATTTGAAGATTTTGGATAATAAAAATTAACTAATGAACTAAAATTATGATTTTAATAGTAGAATGATTTAACTAATAAAAAAATTGAAAGAACTAAAATAACACATAAATTAAACTAAATAATCATCAGTTTCCGGCAATAGTACCAATTAATCTTAGTTTACGTTCGTGAGAGGCCATGTAATGATCCAATGGTAAGTTTTACGATGAATCTAGTGAAATTTTGGAGACATTAACTATTATAAAAACAATGATGCATCTAGATAGAACACTAACAACATCATTCACTAGTAATCTTCAGAGATCACCTAAGACATAAAACCTAAGACAAGACTTTCTAACAACCAGCCAAAACTAACTACATATAATACAAGCACCAAACGCTTTCCAGTGTAGTGAAGATTTCTATTAAATGAAAAGAAGAAGAAAGTTTGATTTACAAAGTCATTGATTGAAGAAACAGGAAGCGGGTAAGTCTTTTAAGTTACTGACGAGGTCAAGACAGTCTAAAACTTAGCAGTTTTTGTTGAAGTTACTTCTTATTTGCATGGATTAATCTTGTATTTAAGTCATTAACCACTATATAGTTATTTTAATTACTGAAAGACGAAAATATCTTTACTTCTTAATTGTTTCTGCAAATAGTGAGACCAATGTTTTTGTTTTTTAGTCTTTGTTGTAGATTAAACCAGCTATTCCACAGCGGTTTTAAGGATAGACGTTTACAGCCTTTAGAAGCTAAAGGACACCATTTTCCTCTCTCTCTCTCTCTCTTTCTCCCTCTCTCTCCTTAATTGTAATGCAAAGTAAAACAGATTTGCACATCAAACATCCCATCTCTGACACCAAATCATAACAGTAAATCCTGGCCTGGACTGTTAATGCTCTATCTCTAATAAGAAAATTAAAAAAGAAAAAAAACGAAAGCTCAAATCAGAAGGTTATTATACATTAGAGCCAGTAAATGGTTTAATCTACATGATCAGAAATTACCCAAGTTAAATAAATTTACTAAATTTCAGCAAATTCAAGAGGACTAATAGGAAAACAATCATCACTTGCTCACATAATTTTTTTAAAACAAAAAATTATTACCTTTTACACTCATCTATTTCAGAAATTATCTTGCCCTAGTCCAGGAGGGTATGACCCAGCTGAAATAGACGCATCAAAGCTTTTTCAAATCAAGTTCTGAAAACAGAAAAACAAAATTCCCATTTTGACACTCTTTTGTCACATAGAAGTGTAAAAAGATAGAGTTTCAGATCTTGACATGAAGGGTAGAAATTAAATGAAACAATTTCGTTCGTTGTATATAAAATTCTGGAATACAAACATAGTGGAAAGATCCGAGCTTTACATTTCCCACAAATCAAGGAAATGAAAAGGATGAAATATTTTTATGGGGAAAAAAGGGCATTTTTTGGGAGGGTTGTTTTTTTAAGCTACTGAAAGCTTAATTATATGTAGGTAATATGTACTTTATTGTATCAATAGGTAAATATTTAGGTTGAGGAGAAGAACCACTGAACACAGATCTTGCCCAAAAAATGCCCAAACGTAAACATTTGTGCACAAAAGGCATATCATTGGCATCATGTTTGCACTTATGCACACATTCACACATGAGACACACAGAAGCAGATACTGTTTATGTATACCTTGAGGTGCTGCTGAACTCATAGAGCTTGCCACGGTTGGAGAAGATGATGAGGGCAACCTCAGCATCACAAAGGACTGAGAGCTCATAGGCCTTCTTGAGCAATCCATTTCTTCTCTTAGCAAATGTTACTTGCCTGTTAATTTTGTTCTCTATCCTCTTCAGTTCAACCCTCCCCCTTCCCATCTTTTTGTTTCTCTCTCTCTCTCTTTCTTAAGAACACACCCCACACACTCTTGCAACTCCCTTTCCTGTATTGGTTAAGAGATGAGAGTGCTTTCTTAAATGGTCTCTTTGCTTAGGGTACCAAAAGAGATAAAACAATAGTGCAAGAGAGGAAATAAAAGTGGAAGCCTGAAAAAGGTTGCCTTATGTTTTGTTTCCATCTTTCTACTGTTATAGCAACAATAATATATGACAAAAAAATGGAAAATTTTTATGATTGTATACTAAATTGACATTTTTCTCACATATCTTGTTTGTACATTATCTTAGTACCCCAAAAGTTGAGCTTAATAGTTCTTTGTTTAGTGTTAGGCTAACTAAAGGGTTATATATATTCTTAACTGTCCATAATTCCTCTCCATCATCCATCACATTTGGCTACATCTGAAACTAAGTCACCTGAAAATTTAACTGTTTGACATCTTTACTATTACATTAAACTTTTGTTACGCTTGGATAGGAAATAGAGTTACTAGGTTATTTTCAGCAAGAAGATATCATTAATTCTTACTTTCTTTTCAGGGAAACTATGGGCATTCTTAGGCACAGGACATAATGAAGTTTGAAGTACCAAGGCTTAATTGAATCGGTTAGATGCATTAAACCCGTGTTTCCATGACTTTTCGTTCAGTGTATGAAAGTCTATGTATGTAAACTATTTCAAATCAATAACTACTGAATGAATTGAAAAATCAAAATCGACCTGCTTATGTATTTGTTTTAAAACATTGAGCGTATTTGTCATGATAAATAAGTTAGCTTCTGTTTTATTTAATTAGTTTTTTCAATAATAAAAAATACTTTAATTTATAGCATTTAAAAAAAAAAGATTACTTTAAGTAGTGTTTTGGCTTATAAACTCTAAATTTATTTATTTTCCAATTTTACTATAATATCTCTTTAATCCTTTTAATATTAGGAAATCTTAAACAAAATCTTTTACTCTCATCAAGTATCATTTATTCAGAGATTTACTTTTGGTAAAGTGCTTATCGTATCCGCCATTAGAGACTTACTTTTTATTAAAGCATTTTAGATAAGTAAAGAAAATTATTTTAAATTACTAAAACAATGGAGCTAAATATGCACTTAAACCTTTAAATTGAATAAAAATACAATTTCAAATATTATATTAAAATGAAAACTTTATTAAATGACAAAATTTCACATATTCACCTAATATTAATTACAGTGAAATGATATAAATTTATATTTAATATGATTTTATTTATCAACTTTTTTAAATGAATAATTAAGAATGAAAATTATTTATAATTTTCTTTGTCCTGATTTCTTTATTTAAATAATAAAAGAAAATTTCGATTGATTCATTTTTTCCCTTATCTTTATTTTTTTATGTTTTAAATATTTTTTTAAATATAATGTTTTTTTTTATCAGAAACAATTATGTTTCAGTTAAATAAGAGCACTACAGACAATAAATATTTCTTTTAAATATTTAATATATTTATATTTATTGAGACTTAAATTTAAAATTATAAGCTAAATCAGAACAACCTCTTACTAATTAATTTTTATGTTTTATGGTTTTAGGCACATTTAAACATAGGTAATATATACACGTTGAATTCTTGATAATAGAGTGATAATATTAAATAGTTGCATAAACATGTTTTTGTTTAGAACATGTTAAAAAAATAAGAATAATTAATTATTAGCTATTAAAAATATAAGTAACATATTTTTAAAATATATTATTTGATATAATTAAATATTTTAAAAATTAATTTATGAAATAAATATTTTAAATTTTTTAAAATGTTAAGCAATTACAAAAGTATAATTAAAAATGTTTAAAAATTATTTTACTAATATTTATTTTATTAAAAAAATATATACCAGCTAGTGCTAAACCTTGAGGGAAAGGGATTCAAGTGCAATTACAAAATTTAAGTTAAATTAAATAAAAAATGAAAAATTACATTATCAAATATGATGTTACTTCAATTTAACCCCCTAATTGAAAATTTCTATTGCCAGAAAAGATATAAAAAAATTATATATGAATGATCATTGCATAAATGTATAAAAGTTTAGAATATCTCGCAATGAATATATAGAAAAATTATTAAAAATAATAATTTACATAGGGTTTAAGTTGAAATTATTCATCTTTTAATAATAACCTCATGAAGTGAAAAGAGCAATTACGAAAAGAGATCACATATAAATCAATTCTATGCCAATGAATTGTTGTTCCAAAGTTTTGTTCCCACAACTCTTAAATCCAATTCAACCTCTTACTTCTCTGAATTATCCACCAAAAAATAGTTAATTCTGTTAATTATTCTTATTTATAATTGTTGGAAAATTTCAGGCATGGAAATAATAGTTTCTGGGCATTTGTACATGCAGCAAATAGAAAGGAGGATTTAGAGTCTCAAAACGTTGGGTATTGGAGATTCAATTATGTATTAAACTAATGTTGAGTTCAACAATTCAAACTAAGAGCATTCAGAATATAAGTTCCTCCACTTTATGATGACTAATATTTTTACAACTCATTTCCTCTTTATCCTTTATGCATGGATTTCAACTTTACATTCTATTTTTTGCGAGTCATTCCTGTACATATAAATCTGAGCAAAAACATCAGCTTGACATGAAATGTCTTAGAAACTCAAGTCAATTATATATGCACACAAAATATATTTGTGTTATCTAAGATTTCAACCAAAACAAAATCTAATTAGAAAGAAAACTTCAGCTAAAAAGTTTCTTCTAGGTCCACCATAAATATTGTTCATTAACTTTTCCTGTATAATTATATAAAAACAATACATATTAAATTTGAATAAAATTACTAACATTTTTTATATAATTTTATAGTTAAAATTAATTATTATATTTGTTGTACTTTTAACCGATATACTCTCTGTCTCCGGGCTCCCTCTCTCTTTCACATATAAGTTCAAATTTACTGTATTTTATCATTTTGAAGTAACAAAAATTGGCAACTCATCATATTAAATATCACTATAAAAAATATTATTTGTTAATAACTTAATGTTAGATCAGTTATTAATATTACAAATTTTTAATAAAAATGTTAGGATAAATATTACTAGTTAATATTAAAAATATTATGTATTATACCAACAGATAATTTTATTAGTAAAATATTAATAAATATTATCAATATTTTAAACTTAAATAATACATTATTTATTAATAAAAAATTAAAATTGACACTGACAAAATATTTTTATTAAAAAATATTAATAAGTATTATCTTAATACTTCAAAAATTTTATTTGTTAGTAAATGATAATATTTTTTAGTGCATACTAAATAAAATAACTAATGTTTGAAAGCTTTTTTTTTTTTTAAGTCTATGATATAAGCATTTTTTTATTAGAAAAATTATATTTAAATTTAATAAAATTATTATGAACGATAAAGTTAAATTAAATTTTAGATCATAAATTAAATTAAAACAATTCTCTATCAATTGGTTGTGAATTAATCTACATGTTTCAGGATGTTAGGAACCTTTTATATATTAAATCTTTTAAATAATTTTACTTTGTGAATCATCGATCTGTATTCAAGATGTGAAAAGTGACAACAAGTATTCCCGATTAGAAGTTTGGTATTATGTCTAATAAGCATATTGTGGATAAGCTAGTTTTGATATGTCTAATAAAAATAGTTTTCCTTTACCAATATATTTTGGTTCAAGTAGGAGGCTTCGGATTCCTACAAATAAATTGTACTGGTGATGTGTACGAGTCTGTCTGCATAAAAGATTATTTAGAGCACAAGTTTCTGTTTTAATGCTTAATTATACTTTGGGAGATTTGTCTCTAATTAACTACAGGGATTAGGGAGGGGGAAGCTTTACCATAAAACGACAAAAATATTGTTTTCTTTGTCACTCATGAATAGGGCATAGAAAGGTGTTCAAAGGTCATAAGTCATAGTTTGATTAGTACGACTTCATCAAAATCAGATTATTATTTCTTATGCAGCTAGTGAAAATGTTGATCAAGTTCTCCGCTTAGTTATAAGAGGATCACCAAAACTGGACTAATAATGTATTAGTAAGATCAAGCATGAGAAACATTAATTTCTTATAAATGCTTAAGATTAATCTTTTCATCATTTAATAAAGTTTTAGCATATGATTTTTTATGTGAAATAAAAACTTGTTTTTAAAATTTATGCAAGATTATTAATTTTTCATTTTAATAATTTTTTAACTTTATGTTTGATTAAAAAAATTAAATTGTTAGAATAAAGTTCTTTTAAAATTAAATTATCGTCAAAAGTTTTTTTAAAAAAAAAAAGCAAAATAAGTGAGAATATATTTACAATCGGTAAATGTCTTAAAATATTTTTAAAAAAAATTAAAAACATATTTTTATTTTCTCACTTGAAAAGCAAAAACTGTTTATATTATTATTACTTTAGGTCAACAAAAACAGACATTTTAAGATAAATCTATAAAAATGCAACGAAACAGATGGATCCAAATGGATGGCACCTTAAAACTGTCATCGCAGAAGTCACAGTGAGATGTGACGTGTCGACTTTTGAGTGGGCAGGTTCTAATAACTTGCAGTCCACAGAGAAAAAAGTACCGTACACGATTAACGGCTGTGTCGACAAGACACAAGTACTGTGCAATGGGACACGTGTCAATAGGAACGCAGATTATAAACCAAAGGTTAGTGATAGATTCCTCGTCGTTTCGCCTGCTTCACGCTTTTTAAAGAACAGAACATTGTATTGTCCTCCGAGGAAACATCTTTTCCTTCATGGAAAAATTATTATTATGTTCTTACAGTGAGTCTTGTATCCGTATCTTAACACTTTTTATTATTTAATAATTTTGAAACTAATAAGGCTTGTATCAATTAATTATTGTGTTCACGGTATTTGTTATTGTTGTGAAAAATAATACACTGAATCTTAACTCACGAGTTAAATTAATTTTATTGAAGATTATTTAAACAAATACATATACATTTGTTTGGAATTAAC